TAAAAATAGCAAACAGTGAGGGGGACAGTGGGCATCCCTACCGGTGCCTCTCTGTAAACAAAAGCTAGAAGATATTTGATTATTTGTCCTGACGCGCYTTGTTGGTGAACTACAAAATATTTTCAACCAGTTTATAAAATGGGTTCCAAACCCAAATTTATGCAGGGTTGCAAATAAAAAATTTCCAATTTACTCTATCAAATGCTTTTTCTGCATCTAGAGACAAAATAGTCACTTCAATATTTTTACTGTATGAATAGTCTATTAAATTATATAATCTACGTGAGTTTGTAGTCGAGTGTCTTCCTTTTATGAAACCAGTTTTGTCAGGATGAATTAAGAAAGGAATTATCTTCTCTAATCTTTTAGAGAGAGCTTTACAAATTATTGTAACATCAACATTAATAAGGGAAATGGGACGATAACTTGTAGGTAGTACTGGGTCTTTACCTGGTTTTAATAGGAGACTTATGTTGGCCGAATTCATATGTAATGGAAACCTGCCATGTTCCTCTGATTCCTGAAGCATTCTGAAAAATACTGGTGCCAGAATATTCCAGAATTCTTCATAAAATTCTGCTAGGAACCCGTCTGGACCTGGAGCTTTCTTGTTCGGCATGTTTTTAACAACTTCACACAATTCAGATGATCTTATAGGAGAGTCTGGCTCTTAAGACTGGTTACTGGATAATTTTGGAAGTGACACTTTTTCRGAAAATTGTTCAATATCCTTATCTGAAGGGTTTATCTGCGGAGTGTATAAAACTCGGTAGAAGTCTCTGAAAACATTATTTACATCTCCCTGATCATAAACTATATTCCCAGTTATGTTTTTAATACCAGATTTAGTTGTTTTTTCTTTATTAATTTGAAGCTGATTAGCTAAAAAAACTTCCTGATTTATTACTATGATCAAAATTTTCTAATTGAAGTCGTATCAAGAATTTGTTTTTTTTTTTGTCTATGTATTCATTTAACTCTAATTTTGCCTTCCYCKTTCTTTGCTGTATTTCTTCGCCTTGCAAAGTTCCTAACAATTTGATGGCTTCCTCTAGTTCGTGAATACGTTCAATTTCTTTTTTCTTTTTATTTGTTGAGTATGATATTATCTTGCCTCTCATAACTGTRTTCCCTGCCTCCCAGAGAGTAGATGCTGATGTTCCTGGTAAGTCATTATACTCTAGATATGATGTCCATTCCTCTTTAAAATATTTTAAAAACTGTTCAGCATTGAGCAATGATGTATTAAATCTCCAATTTATGTTTGTTTTATTTCTTTCTTATTAACTAAGGTTAAAGAGACTGGTGCATGATCACTAACAGCAATAGGGTGTATCTCACTGTCTAAAATATTGGTCAGCAATGAACTGCTGACTAAAAAATAGTCCAGGCGAGAATAAGAGTGATGAACATGTGAGAAGAACGTATATTCTTTATTGTCAGGGTGAAGAGCACGCCATGCACCGCAAAGTCCATAATCACTCATATATTGTTTAACTATGTTTGTGGATTGCCAACTGCGCTGAGCTCCAGCTGTATTCTTCCTGTCAATGTTATTATTTAGAACAAAGTTGAAATCGCCTCCAAGAAGCAGTGAGCAATCCAGGTGATTTGATAGAACAGAAAAGAAATCATGAAAAAATGAGGTATCATCCACATTTGGACCATGTATATATACATACAATACATTATTTTTGGCTAAATAGAGAAAATTTTAATATTATATATCTACCTTCGGGTCAATAACTGTATKTAATACTGTGAAGTTGATATTTTATGTATTAATATTGCTACCCCTCTTTGTCTTGAATTATAACAGGCTGAGAATATGGTAGGGAACTCAGGAGACTTAAGATCATCTACAGTTGAATTTAATTTATGAATTTCTTGTAGTAATACAACATCTACCTTTAATCTTTTAAGCTGGTTAAAAACTCTCTATCTTTCTGTTGGGTACCGGCTCCATTTATATTCCATGTGACAAACCTTAAACAACCCAATGCAGTATTTGTGAGAATAAAATTAAACCACGCCTGTTATCATAACAATAGGGACACTCAGGGACAGTCATTGACAGTGAATGATGATTAGTCAAGATTTTGAGAATACCTGTGTAGCATGTAAGATATATAAAAATGTATGTGATGTATTTGAAGTTAAATGAAGCATTTGTTTTATTATTAAGTATTTGGATGTATGATATATGAGCATGTGTGGGTTTGTGCGCCTGTGTACAAGTATTTGTTGTGTTAGACATAAAGAAATAAGAGAAAAATAATGTGATAGTAAAGAGATGAAAAAAAKCCAAAAAGAACAGAAAAGAACAGAAAAAGAACAGAAAAAAGACCACCACTACCACCAACACAAAAAGTAGTCACCAAGCCGGCAACGTTACAGCTGCTGCTCTGCTGCTCCCACATTTAGAGGATGGCAACAGGAACATGTGGCGACTGCAGTTCTTTTACAATGCAGCTTTTCAACAAGAAGCGTTAATGAAGAGTTCTAATTTTTAATATTTGGATACTCGGTACGTAAATATTCACTTATGACATATGTTCAGGCTAAACCCCAAATTAAAAACTTTCAGTCCACCAAAAGCCTACTGTGAGTTCATCCACTAACTTAGAGGAAATGTGGAAATACACACTGAATTTTGTCAGGTTAAATAATCAGATTTCTTTCCAAACCTTCAGCGGTCGGCTCAAACTGTGCATACAGCATGTTCAAATATATTTTCTTTGGCTGTTGGTTCTGAAAGGTACAAAAACCCAGATAAGCATCTTGATTTGTCTTTGAAATGGATCTCAGACGTAATTTATCCAGAGCTCCATTCAAGCCTGAGAGGTAGGCGGCAGGTCATTCATTAGTGCCACTTTGGACACGTTTATTCACATTAATGAAGAAATACCTTCAGGCATTAGTGAAATACAAAAAAATAAATGTGTTGGATACAAAAACAATGTGCAGGAAAGGTGRTGGGCTAAGGAGAGGGGAAAATATGAATCTAAAGCCAAATCAGGCACAGAGTGTTTTTATGTCTGCAGTTCCTACAATAACACAGTTATAGTAAAACACTGACCTCTGAATAACCTCTTCCCTCAAAACACTGCTTGACTTCAGTTTTCCATCAGACTGTTAATGTGCTGCAAACTAAGACTGATGTTATTTTATTGGTGTGATAAAGGTTGTTCCTTTAAATCAGACAAACAGCTGTTTACTTGATTTCCCTTTGGCCTTCCATTGCACACAGCCTTCATGCATCTTTAAAATCCTCTCAGAAATATTTTTCATCTTCACCTGTCAGAAATCAAAGAAAGATTTTGTAAAGTTAGTAATTGTATCAGTTGCCTAAATATGTAGGACTGAAATGATTTATTTTAAAAAAAATTGAGAAAAAGCAGATGCTATGAGTGGAAAGTATTTTTCTCAAGAATTTACCAAATATGTCCTCAGACTGTAGAAAATCC